ACTGAAGCAAGTGAAAAAGTTACACAGATTTCATAGCGAATCTTGGATACCCAGCAAATTTTTCTTGTGGCCTGCAAATGCCCACTTACAAAACTGATCTCTTCTGTTCAAAACCAAGTTAAACAAGCAACTTGAACAATCTAAGTTCATCTTTTAATTCATAATTCATTAAACTCTTTGACAGAAGGCGTCATAATGAAAGGACTAATGGACGGACACAATCAATATGTACACATTTTGGAGACTATCCACTGCCTATTTACGATTGTTACACATGGTATGATGAAATTAATATAAATCATTTTGCGATAGAGGACAGGTACAGCAAGAATATATATATAAAACTGACGATTGACTAACATTTAGTAATTAACAAAGTATTGACAGTTAAATCGTTTTTTTTTTTTTTATTGAAACAATTTTAACATCTTATTACGCAATTGTCGGTACGTAAACAGAAGTATTCGATTCTAAATATGCTGCGCTATAGGCATTAAGACTCACATTGAATTGCTCGCTAAACTTACTAGACACTGCAGCATTCGTTAAACGTACTGAGCGGATTCTGGGTCGACCCACTGATAAACATTGAACATATATTAGCAGTAATTGAAATTCTTGCGCTTTCTGTCTTCCTATGGTTTACTTCGTTTTTATGATGACTGAAAGAAATTTATTAGCCAAGCGAAGGATATGCACTCGAAATCATTTTAATGAAATCCTCAATCATGTTACATGCAGTTCGTCATCTAAATCTCTTGAATAAAATAAAGCTTGAACGAAGGAAAATCTATAGAGTGGCATCGTTCCAACGCTTACGAACTCGCCCTATCTACACGGGTTAAAAGACGTTTACGATAATTCGCGGTTGGTTCTATTGTTGTGGTATTAATAAATACGTCAGAGCTCGGTCTGAGCGCGCTACTGCACATTTTTTATATAAAGTAAAACTAGGCTTAATTTTATACAACTCGCAGACACTCAGATATTCCCTTTGCCAGAAAGCATCCCAGTCCGTGTTGATGTTAAGAACTAGTTAAGACGAATCCTTTCAATTTAATGATTATTATGGACGGATTTATCTAATTCGTGTTTGTAAGATTTATAAGAATAATAATAAACGGATATCGGTTCTTAAGCTCCAGCTATCGATCAGACGTTCTAAGAGGACGCCACCAACAGATAGACATTTCAACAGAGAAAATAAGATAAAAATATCTGTTACTTCCCGATGAAATTGTAAAAGAATAGACATAGATAAATAAAATATAGATAAATGAATGTTTTTGATATATAAATATAAATGTGGATAAATATTTTTCCCCTATCGAGTGTATCCTTTACGTGCTCGACACCCCGGACCTTGGTGGATAACAAAACGGATAGTGTACAGTTTGAGTGAGCTTAGGATAGGGTTTGAAAAGAAAACGCATAGCATTAATGATCGTATTATTCCACTTGACCTTGTCACAAGTGAAATCATAAAATGAACTGTACATGAAGAAACAAATCAAAGCATCGGCTTAACTTGAAAAAGAAATTTGCAATTTTTTAGGATCTACACCAAGTGTGTGATATGTTGCTGATAAGGAAAGATTTTTTTTTTTCATTATCCATTAGCTTTGTTAAAAAAGTAAAAAAAAAATTTCTTTTAGTTCGGAAAAGTCTTTACAGTAGTGCGAAAAGTTTTTTGTCATGAAAAACGTAACGTGGTTTCTTGATAAATTTTTGAAAAGCCGACGGTTTTTTTAAAAATTATTTCAAGGTATAAGCACTTTTTCTCAGGAAGCACTGACACAGAGTAGACTACGTTTTCTATGCACTTAAGCGTCAATAAGTGAAGCTTTTTGGAACGTCATGAAATAATGCTTTAGAAGAACACATTAGTGAATTTTTTCATAATGATCACGAATCTTAAAGCGCTTAAGTGTGACCTCCACCAACTTTTATTGCTTATTTCGAATTATATGCAACTAAGAGCGAAGCAATAAAATGTAAAATTTTTCTCAGAAAAATCTGCACATATCTAGGAAGGCCTAACGCACTTAAACAAATTCTACATAGTCTACATGTATTTCTGATTAATTTCAACTTAACCGTTATTTTTATCGTAACTGCACATTTTTCTCATTTCGGTCTCTTTCACTTTTCTTTCTATTAAAAATACCGAGTAAGGAAAACTCATGATTGGAAAGCGTGTTACGCTACGCAATTTTATATATAAATATATAAAAAAATTTTATTTTAATTTTCCTATTACATGCCACAGCTAGCATCGTGTAATGAAGCTATAAAGATTTTAATATTTCATCTTTGAAATCCAGAAATGTTAATCCGGTAGTAATGAATGTATCTTTGGTATTTTAACGCACACGCGGTTGCCTTTGATGAGTAGGTTGTAATATTTTATTAATCTACGATGTTAGGTACTTTCGCGTAAGAAAATTTAATTGAATGAATAAATATGAATATCTTTGCTTATTTTTTTATTTTCTTTGTTGTTGATTTTTTTTTTTTTTTTTTTTTTTGCTAATTGATAAGCATCTTATCCACAATTGAAGCTAATGAGATATGTTTTCTAAAATAGTTACATGACTTTTCAATTCTTTTTCCATTACGCTGTGAATTATTTTTTACCTTTTTTTCATTCTCGAATATTTGCTAACAAAATGAATTTCCAGCGCATACATGAAATGATTTTTAATCTAAATCTTGTAATCTAACTGAGTAATAAGTAAATTATATGGATCTGGATTTTACTGAAAACAAATTTCATATTAATTGATAGGGATGTCAAGATAAGCAAAGAGTATTGTCAGCGAACACTCTGCTTCTACATAAATTTCACCTTCAACATTTTCTGTCTATATGGCCACTTTTTTTTTAACCTTCTAATATGTACAGAGCGCTTTTGAAAATGACCAAAGATAAACGAAGATCGATTAAAGTAATTTTCCTTAGGATGTATGGATAACAATTTGAAATTTAAACAATCGTGTAGTTAGACGCTGTTTCACTCAATGTACAGTCAACACTAATGAACCGACTTTTATCTTAAGATGCATATAATGTGTTTAGTTATTTAATTGTAGTATAAAAAAAAATACCGTCGGCCGCAATATTAATTTTATTTCATCGAGTTATTCTAAAATGGTTTCGATTGAAGAAGACAAGTCTGTTGGATGAGAGGTGTCTAAAAGTTTTTTGGAACATTGACCATGAGCACCGCACAATCATTTATATTTCGAATACATAGTTGATTGCAATTTTTACTTTCTTTACATTTTTCTATCCTTTGCGCATATTTCCTTAAAATATTATAAAATACCTTTCGCTTCGCCGACTACCGATTCAACCTCAGTTTTATGTATCTCGAAACAGGAGCCTCTCCACTGCTTAGTTTTCCAAAAATTGAAAAAAAAGGTATACCTTTGAAACCCAATTTTTCTTTTAAATTCTCCGAAAATTTTTCAAAAAGAAACTACAATATAATGAAAGAACCTTGACTTTTCTAATGCATATCAGCGAGCTACCATTAAGCGAAACAGAAATGGGACTGTCACCGTTACACAACTTTTTACTTTTCAAAATGAGTAACAATGTTAGAATAAGGTTAAGGAAATCTTACGTTTTATAGAAAAATTTTCTTTTAAAAATTTTTTTTTATTTATTTCTTTAGTTCTAGTTTTCCTCCTATTATTCGCGAATTGATAATTTAAGCGAATGTAGTTTAAAAAACGTGAATTCGTTTTTCCTTTTTTTCTTCTAAACATTCAAATTGAAAAACTAAATAGGATTTTTGTCCTTCCTTCTATTTGTTAATTATTCTTATTGCTTTGAGGTTTGCAACCCGGAAAAATCAAACAAAAAAATATTCATCAATTTTTTCTGCATAAGCAAATCAAAAAACTCTATGCAGTTCTCTGCTTACATTGTATATTTATCCTTATGTCCTGCGTTGCATGCGTTGTCCAAATGCAAGTCCACAAAAACAAGTTTTCTCTACATATTTTTATTAAAAAGGTAAAAAATAAGGTTACCACTGCACCTAACATTTATCCGTCCTTTTAACTATTTCTAGAAGCAAAGGATCAACAGATCACCATTAGAATGAACTGCAATAGCATTACGCTTACGGGAATGAAAAATTAAAAAAAAAAAAAATGTACAACACAAGGTGGAAAGATATAAATTTTACCAAAAAAAAAAAAAAAAACAGACGATTTTTAAAATGATTTTTAAAACGATTAAAGCAATTTTAATTTTCACATAAAGAGGACAAGAGGTAGAAGACAGGGACATTTATTGTTCCATCTTTCTTTGATGAAAGTTTGAAACGGTCGGAATATATAAAAAACATTACAAAATCATTTTAGGCTTCCCTTGATAATTCAAAAATTTTTAATTTTTATTGAAAAAATTAGTTGATAATCAATAAAACCAATTATGGCGATATTGTGAAAGGAAAAAGACTGCGTTTATGTTAAAAACCTTCAGGCTTTCTTTAGGTGCATATACCTAATAACAACGGATCATTTGACATTTTTCTCCAATTACTAGAGATGGTACAACAACAATTGCAGCTAACTTTTGCACGAATAGATTTCGATTATTTGGAAATTTTTCTTCAATTACTAGAGAGAGAGAGAGAGAGAGTTATCCCTATTGCAACTAGCTTTGCAATGGACAGACAGGTCTTGATTAATTGAAAATCTGCTCAGGTCTGATGTACATTTTTAAGAATACCAAGTTCGTTTAGTCATGATGACGTGAAAAAATATAAAAAAAGGACAACGAAATGATTTGATATCACTTCAAAAACCAATTGCCGTCGCTCCCATGCGCTTTTCTTAGCTAACAAAAAAATAAATAAATAAATAAATTCTTGACCTGTAACTTTTTACACATACATAACAACTGCTTTTCCATAACCAATAAAAAAAAAGAAAATCTTTTTTTTAAAAATTTCACTTAAATTTATTATACAATCAAGTACTTACCCTAGGTTGAGCCATTAATGCTCTAGGAGCGATGTCCAACCCAATTTGTGCCACTTTTATTGAAAACTACACTCAATTGACGAATTGAAGTGTAGTTTGGACCGTAGTTTTGAAATTTTAACAAAAATTTTCTTTTCTTCGTTTTTTATTCAATGATTGTTTTCAATTTGAAGATATTAAAAAAAAAAAAACACTGTTTCTTTACACTTTATGGTTTAGAGAACTTTTTAATGACTTTTTCACAATTTTCTTCTTCTTCTTTTAATTTTTTTTTTTTTTTTGTAATATATATATATTTAAATTTTACTTTATTAATTTAGGCACATATGTTTTTTTTTTTATTTTTATTTTTGTATATATTTTTTTTTTATGATTTTTTTGTAAAATAAAAAATATTGAAGATTTTAAAGAGTCTTGGGGGTAAGTTTGTGTTGTTCTTTTTTTTTTTTTTTGTTTAAGAAAATCGTATACAATTTTTGTTACTGTTTTTTATTAAGTATACTATTTGTTACTATTATTGTTGTTGTTGTTATATTTTCATATATCTTTTTCTTTTTTTTAATGTTAAGAAAAAAGATGCAAATTGAAGTCGTTGTCATAATTCCATGTTCGGGCCTTTCTTTCATCCAAAATGTCCAATTTCTTCTTAATTTGATGTTGTTTTATGTTACTATAGCTGATGCTATTTGTTGCTGTTGTTGTTTTTAATGATGTAATTATATCGTATACAAACGTTGCTAGTTTAGCGGCATTATACGTCCTATTCTCCGTATTTAGATTACATTACATTTTATCACAGTTTCTCTAAATTTGGATTAAGCGATGAAACAACAACAAAATGATGTTTAGTGATTTTCTTCATTTGTATTCCGTAGAGCATTTGTAAAGGAAACAACAACTAACGTGAGTAATGAAAAAACAACACCACATCTAACATTTGCATCACATGCTGTCTTCCGCATAGCAGTGATGTGATCGATCATTAAAACTGTCAAACTCACACTACAAAACAAACACAATGATCATTTAAAAGCCGTTCACGTTGAAAAGAAAAACGCGCGCGATTTTCTATAAAGTTTCGACGGAAATGAAAAAAATAAACAAAAAAAAAAAAAAAAAGAAAAACCGACGGCTTTGCAACTTTTCTTAATATTTTATAGGAATATTAATTTTTATTGTTGTTTTGCTTTGAAGAGAACGTTTATAGAGTAACGTGTGCTGTGTTGATTAACCAATCGACCGTTAACGCAACGTACGACCGTTTAACCGTATTCTATATGTTAACGACACCAACTAATAACAAGCGCTGTGTAAATCATTATTTTCGAAATAGTTGCGGGCTAACTGACGACTGGCCAAATGGCTAAAGTCGTTTATCAAAGCAACCATCCATCCGCATGTCTGCACTCTTGTGTTAATATCGTTATTGTTGTTGTTATCGTTGTTGCATTTGTTGCCAGTTACTACCGCTATTATTATTATTGTTGTTGTAGTTGTTGTTGGCGGTGATGATGACGATTACGATGATGATAATGATGGTGGATGGATGGATGTTGCTGCTGCTACAATCGTTTTGTACAAATCTCTCCAATGCGCCATATACAAATGCACGCGCATCTACACACACGCATTTACTGTTTACACCTTATACTCCTTCTTTCTAACCGTGTGGCAACGAAATAAACACAACTAATACCGCCGTTATTGTAACTAAAACAATTTATCACACCATTAAACTCTTACTATTCTTCCTCTTGTTAATCAAAAACAGAAAAAAATAATAATAAAAAAAAAAAAATAATTTATTTATACTTTTTTTTTTTGAATAACTTCTTAAATAAAATTAATTTTTTGAATATTTCATATGATGAACGCTTTCATAAAATAAATTTTCTCGCAAACCGTACGTATTATAAGCTCACCGAGTGAAACAGAAAAAATACACTTGTTTTGCGTGGCGATTTTTATAGACGTTTTCTTTACTTTCTTCCGAGCGTAAAATATTTGCGTTATTTTGTTTTGGTTTTGTAAGGTGAACTGAAATGATAATAATAGCAATTTTTCTTCTTTTTTTTTTCTCTCTTTTTCTTTTTTATGTTTTTTATGATTTGTTGTCTACTTCTACACAGCACAGCACGTCGTACGCGTTTCGAAGGCAAATACACACTGGGCTTGTCAATCAATTCGAAACTAAACTTGGCGGGGGTAAATAATAGCCCAACACACACACACATTATTTACTAATGTATGTGTGAGAATGTTTGTAATCGCGTACTCTAGCTGCGTACGTTTGTTTTGTGTGTGTGTGTTTGCGTGTGCATATGAAAAAATACTCGTTCGTTGTGTATAGATGGCTGTGCTCTAGATGTTTTATACGACACTATATTGGGTAGATAGGTAGGCAGGAAGGTAAAGCGAAAAAAGGCAAAGCAACAATTGTGCCATTAAATAAACGGTTAAACGTGTGTGTGCATCGCAAAGCAATATATATAAATTTTCTTAATACCAGACAAGGAAAACTAACTGATTTGTAATATATCAACAATAAAATGTTTGAAAGAGATGGTTGCACAAAATAACAAACACAAGCGCATGTCTGTGCATGCTCGCTACGAACGAAACGAACGAAACTCATTCACGTCAACATCCAGAGAGAGAGATAGAGAAAAATGTTGAAAGAGATTGGAAGGCGAATATATTTTCTGTAAAAACTCTCCGTGTGTGACAAGAGTAATATAGAAAATTGCCGAGAGAGCTATGGATTTTTCTTCGTATTTCTTAAAAGTTCAATGCTCTTGAGTAATTATAAAAAATTGTTAAATATAATTTATAAAAAAATAAAATTTTTTTCAATTATATAGAAAATAAGTCGTTAATTTTTTAAATATGAAGAATGATTTAATAATTGAGACCTCAATCAAATATTTTTAAGAGCGTAGTCAATTCTTAAGAGATCGCGCTTAGCTCTTTTAATTATTGTTTTATTTCTATTTGATTTCTTATTTTCATTTTTAGAGATTTGTTCTCGATAATAACCATGATAATGACGGTGATGATAATGATGAGTATGAGAATGAGAATGAGAAATTGTATATTTTGTTGTTTTTATTGTGTTGTTTTGTGAGTGAGTCAAGTCAAGTCAGCGCTCTCAAGTAAAGTCATTCATACATATACTATAACCAGCCAGCATACAATGTATGTTCGCATGTTTGTGACTATAAATGTATGTGTTGAATGAACGTTTGAAATTTATTTGGCTTTAGCTGAAATGAGACGGCTTATGGGTTCACAAAATTTGCTTTGCTGCTTTGAAAGATTGTGTTGTTTGTGTTGTGTGCACACAAAGTGAACCATGTGTACGGATGGATGGATGGATGGCTAGCTAGCCAGCTAGCTAGCTATAGTAGTATACGGATGCGAATTGTGTATATATGAAGCAGCAGTGGCAACAACAATAAAAAATAACAACAATAACAACAACAACAACAACAAATAGAAATGGCAAAAACCAATCCCCATTTGTTATATTCGCTTGAGTGAGTGGCAGTTTGCATCAGTTTTGGTTTTCAGTCAAAAGCAAAACTGCAACAACAACGGCAACAGCAACAGCAACAGCAAGTAAACGTAATCATAGTGGTAGCAGTAGAGAAAACAGTCGTTACAGTTGTCTAGGTTGTGGTATATAATGGTGGTAACTCTCAAGAAAATGGGTTGGGAGGCATAATATTGCGCTCAGGTGGGTGGGTTTGGGTTGTTCCTATTGCTCATGTATAAGCAGGCAGGCACGCAATCATATACAAACAAACATTCGTATAATGAATACGATAACAATTTTCAGGTGTTTTTCTTGTACTTTTACTTCTCCTCCTTTTCCTATCCAAGCCTTTTTAGTAGTTAAGGCGAGAATTCCTTACTCTTTGTGCAGCTAAGCTTTAAAGTTCTCTATGTCAGTCATATTGTTGTAAATGGCATAGAAATGTATACAAGCTCACACTCGCATGGATAAATATATATATATATATATATACATACATCCGTGCACTGTCATAGAGCATAGCATTTTCGTATAATTTTTCTCATACTCATTTTTCTTTTTAGATGCGCAGTAAACACAAACACTCACACAAACGTTTATAAAATCTACACAATTTCTTCTTTTTTTTTTTTTTGTTTTTTTTTTGTGCATGTTTTCTTCCTTCTAGTCACATTGTTGTTATATAGTATGATTGTTGTTGGTATTGTTGTTGCTAGTGTTGATTTCTTTTCTCTAGCTTCCACAATTTAATGACAAAAGGTAACGCCTTCAAAATTTATAAAATTTGCAATTTCTTTTACACTGTGCAACTGCACCACTCGGAACTCTTAAAAATCTTTTAGCCCAGCAAACCTGTTAATAATAAATTATAATAAGAAAAACAAGAAAAACAAATGAATAAATACTACAAACTAAAAAAACCCAGCAAACCACTTTAAGAAATATTTGAACAAAATAATTAAAAATCCACAAATCATTTTTGGTAATTTCGTTTAGCAAAAAAGAAACAAATATATTATAAAACAGCAACAACAACAACAAGAAGAACAACAACAATAATAAAATCAATCATAATTAATAAGAAGGAAAAAAATCGGAAAAAAAAAAATAAATAATATCAAAACAAATTTCTCAACATAAATCACTCTTGGCACAGAGTCGACCACTAACAGAAAACACACAAACCTACATAATATATATATAAACTCTCTTCTTTTTTTTTTTTTTGTTTTCGGATTGTTTGGCACATAGATGTGTAGATGAAAACCGTAGACTTAACTAAAAACCAAAAAGAGTCCTTCTGTATGTGTAAGAGTGTGTAAGTGCAAGCGCGTATGTATTTGCGTGTGCTCGCACAAACTTACACACATATATATATATATATATATGCACATATACAACCAAACAACTATGAATGTTAGTTTAAAAAAGCGGTTAACACATATTTTGAAGCAATTTTTCACTACCACTCACACGTATAATTTTTGTTGCTGTTGGTGTTGTTGCCGATTCCGTTGCTCTTGCCGTTGCTGTTGCACTCATCGCAAACTCTGCTCTAGGATTGTTGGCTAACTAAACGTGCAACCTCACACATTTACAGCTAGTAGCAATAACAGCAACACATATTCTATATATATATATATGTGCAATGGAAGTTTTGAACACAGCAAAACAAAAACACAAGTGTTTTAGCGACGGCAAAACAACAGTACAACAACAAATTTTTACGTAGTTAATGAAAAATTGCTTTTTATTCTGGCCAAAAAAGAATTAGGCTTACATGACTTTTTGCTTTTTTTTAGAGATTGGTTATAACTTGATTTGAAAAACTTGTTGTTCTCCCTCTAATAGAAATTCATTTTTAATTTTCAATTAAATAAAAATATTTTCAAAAATTTTCTTTTTTCCTTTTTTTTTTTTTTTTTTAGGTTAAGTCCATACATAATCTATTTGTAACCAAACGCCATAAATATTGAATTTAAAATTCATGTTGTTTGCATCTACAGCAACAGCAATAACAACAACAAGATCATCGTCGTCGTCATCATCATCATCATCATCAACGCTATCGTAATCATCATCACTAAAGCCGCCGCCGTTCTCGCCATTCATTCATTCATTCATTCGTTCATTCACTCACTCACTCACTCACTCGCTCATCAATAAATCAATATTTTTAAATATTCTGCAGTTTTCGGCGCAAATTCGTATACAATTGGTTGTTGCGTTATGTGCGGGAGTGTGTGTGTGCGCATTTTGCCTTCATTTT